TTGGACGATTTTGCTCTGTGTGCAGAGTGTTTATAAATATGATAATATATGATAAATTCGATATATATATAAAGTATATATAAAAAGTTTGTATTACATTTATCGTACAACTTCTTTCGAATTGAAGTAACATGGAAAACGAAGCACAAGAAAGAGAAAGAGAGATACAATGAATCCACGATGATAAAATATTCGTTTAACATTCAATTATTAGTGATTTTAACGAATTTAACCGTACTTTTGTATACTCGTAAAAATAGATCAAAACACCAAAACAAATTTCAGATACGATTTATTACTTTTATTAATTTTTAAACGTTATATTTTAACTCGATATTTAACCTCACGATTCTACAAAATTTCTATGCGCTTATAACAGTACGGTACAAAATAAAAATTACACGAACACGAGAATATCGCTCGCCACGAAGCGAATTCACGGATCGGCCGCGCTGCGTCCGACTGCGATAAGACGAGGACGACGGATCGCGCTCCCCTCCTCGACAAAAGACGGAAGGGGAGGGGAGGGGATAGAGTCGGTAATATCCTTTTTTCGGCCGAAAGTACGCCCCATCGAGTGTTCCCATCGAGCCATCCCCGAGAGGCTAGACGGTATTACAAGTAATTGTCGCCCTGGGGTGGCAACTCTCTCTCTCTTTCATCCTTCCTTCCACCCTTCCTTCCCCTCTTCGTTCGAAACGAGATGGAAAACGGGATGGGATCGAACCGATATGACTGGCCAATACGAGCGAAAACGATAATTTGAGTATAGGATTGCCGGGAAAATTTTCGAACTAATTTAATACTACCAGCACGGTGAAATTGACATTTATATTGTATTTAAAGTTATTATAACGCTTTATGACTTTTCCTAGAATATGCAATGCGATATATTCTACGGTATATTTACTTCTAGTTTTTTCCTTCCTTTTTCTAGAGAAATATTTGTACTCTGCTTACCTGCGGTCGGTCATTTTCACCGGTCGATAAAATATTTTATTTACTCCTTTAAATATATACAATGCAAGGCTATCTCAAGATAACAATTGAAAGTAACAAATAACAACAGTACAAACTCGAGAAGAGAGCATCGCAGAATCGCAGTTTCGTGTACAGTTTTTGAAAAAATAAAGCAGTAAAACTTCAACATTTTACAAAGGAAAGGAAACGGGTGAAAAAATATTTCAAGGCAGGAATTTTTATTCCAATTAGCTACACAAATAATTTTAGATACGCTGTATAATTGAAATTATATAAAGATAAATTTGCACGAAATTTCTTCTATATTTTACACAAAAATATTCAATAATAAATTAAAAACGATAACTTTTTTGAGCACCGAGCTTTTTAGCAGAAATAAGCATACACAAGAACTGTCGGTAAGACAGTTTAATGTTAAGACAATATCCTGGAAATAATCGATATTATAATACTTCTTTCAAATTTCTTCTTAAACAAGCTCCTCTCGCTGTTTCGCGATACAAAGTGGAAATCTGTAAAAGAAAAGAAGGGAGAAAGAGAGGGGGAGAGACGAAGGAAATAAAAGTAAAAAAAAAAAGGAAGGCTCCCCATAATTCTCCAACAGTCCCAATGGCAACCGACCCCATTCGTGGCAGTCCTCCTCGAGGGAGAAAGTAGCGACCAACTTTCGCCTAACAAGTGGATGATTCACAAATCATCCCCGATTCCGTGCGCCCCACCAACGAACGAGAAACTTCGTTCCACTCGATAGCTCTCTCTCTTTCTTTTTTTTTCTCTTTTCCTTGGCTCGATGCGGATTCGAAGAACGGAAATCGAGACGAACGAGATAAAAGTGGACGGGTTCAGGAAGATAAAGGTATCGTTTCTTTCTTTCTTTCTTTCTCTTTTTTTTTAGATTCTCTTGTGTTCGCCTCCCTTGCTTCGCGTCGTCGTTGTAAATAAATATTCGAAGGGATGGAGGGGGGGGTAATTTTTCTTCTCCTTCCTTTCCCCCCTCCCCTCGCCCGAGACACTTCATTTCCAGGGAAAATTGAGTTTGAAATAGCGGCGGCAGCTAAAAGCGGGGGCCCGTTAAACGGGGTTCGATTTAGAATTACGTGGCTAAACGCGCTTGCGCCCCATGAATTTTCAAACTCGATTTCCCTCCCCGTGGAAACGAGATTCTGCAATCCTTATTTTTTTTTTTTTTTACTCCTCCTCGTAAAATTACCCTCCGCCGATATATGACACGAGGGCGCGGTTCGTCGCGACACTTTCGAACGAGTAGCCTTTCCGTTAATAACGGAATCGTTGGGCCGTCGTTCCTCTCCAAAAGGCGGCTAAAAACGAATAGAGAAGGGAGAGAGAAAGATCGATCCAGATCCGGTTCTATTAGGGGGAGGGGGTTGATCGTCGATAAGAGAGACAAAGTGCGGTGAGTCACATTCGAGCTCGACCAGTTTTCGCGTTCCCAAGATCAGATCCCAAAGATTTCTTCTTGGATAAAAGTGGGGTGAGACGCGGATCGAATGGGGGAGGGGGAGAGAATCGAGCCCTCCCCCTCTCATCAACCGTTCGCGATGGAAAAATCTCGACCGGCCGACCAATTTTCCACGATAACGCGGATTTCGCGGATTCCATCATCATTTCGCGCATCTCCCCAATTCCGATGTAAATTATCCCTCGTCCTCTCCTCCCTCTATACTCTGCTCTCTTTTGGGAGGGGAGGGAGAAGGGGATGTATGCATCCTCCTCTTACAGACTCGAGACCTCAACTCGACGAATAATGGGGCGTATATATTTATTTGGATTATAGATTTTTTATCGTGTTCCACGTTTTTGTGAAAACGTTGGAGAATAAGTTGGGATAAACCGTGTTGTATAGATGTTCAAAAGGAGAAAAGGGAAATAGCATCCGGTGGATTATAAATGTTCACAAGATACGAATCAACATATATATATATATAAAGTGAAAGATTGGAATCTATCCAGATCACTTTTCTAAAGAAAAAACATTAATATAATAATATTAGAATATATATATATAATGAAATAGCATCGATCTCTTCGCATTAAAATCCGCGTTTCTACTTTATTAAAGCGTACAAGGATAAGGAAGCGTTACGGATAACTTGTTCATCGTTCTCGTCCATAGGGCTAATTTTTCTTTATCCGGATTCCGGTAATTGGAAGGGCGAATGTCTTGAGGGGTAAAAGGGGCGGAGAAGATAAGGGCGAAAACGGGGCTTTCGTGACCGTGAGAACGGCGAGATTTCGCGGTTAACGAACTTCTACGCGGGAGAAATCCGAGAGATAAGCGAGGGGATGGAAAATGGCCCCGGAACGACGATAAAGCGTCGTCGAAACCCTGGACTCGCGCGCGCCAATCTTTACGCATCCACGATAATCAGATATCTATCTATCTATCTGTGAATTTCGAAGGAGATCGGACGAATTTTATTCGTTGGATGTCTTGTTTGCAATATCGAGGCGAAGATAATGGAAAATCCATTCTTTTTTTATGTTTTGTTTATTAACATATTTGCATCGCGTACACGCTTCTTCCTTTCTCGATATTATCATACAAATTGAAGAGGGAAAAATTGCTCGAAATTACTTCGCCAATGTTTCTATATCTTTCAGATATATATATTGTACGTATTTGTACGATAACCGTATGCAACGATTGATTTAGATCGTTCTTGTTTTCGATATATAAAGAAAAATACATAGACAAGTTTTCTCATTAGTATATGTTCCTTTTTTATAAAAAAATTGGTCGAAATTATTTCGTATATACACATATTTGTACGATAACTGTACCCTATTCGACTATTTCAAATATGTCATAACGAAACGATTAAGAAAAATAGGCAACAAATTTTATTAGCCATTTGTATATATTTTGTATACTTATTATAAAAAGCTAAGCACGAAATTATTTCGAACCAAGTAATAACACGTATGATTCGATTATTTCAAATACGTCATAAATACGTATTTATATAATATATATATATATATACACACACAAAACCGTTCCTCTTCACACTTGTCACAAGAATCTTCAACCGTGCGTCACGAACGCGTTAAGACAAACGAAGAAATTTAAAACGAAATGGCTCCTTAAAAAACTCGCAATCGTTAACTTTCCCCCTCCCTCTCATCCCCTCTCCTCCCTCGTCGCGAATTACGCGAAACTCATCGCGAACCGAGGCAACGAGCGACGATAAGGTCGGCTCGCTTCGCGCTCCTCGCGACGCGATACTCGAGAAAAAGGAGGAGGCGGACAGAATCAGCAGTGGGAAGAGGAGCAGAAAGAGGACGAGAGAGGGGAAGGGATGTATTTCCTCGGCCGATGCTCGTTTCGTTTCGTTCGGGAGCCGGTTGGCGGGTCGGTGTCCGGTCTCCTTGGTGACCGAAGGGAAACGCAAAACTGAACCGCCACACGCTTCGTATACCCCCTCCTTCCCCTTCGCTTGTTTGTATTTCATATTGATAGAGTATCGATAAACCCCTTTCCTCCAACTCTCTCGCTCTCTCTCTCTCTCTATCATAATTCCTTCTCCTCCTCCGTCGTGACGAGGCTCACCACTCCCTTTCCCCACTCTCCCCGTGAAATCCCGTAGCGAACGTAAACGAGCATGCCGTTTTAGTTAACGTTTCGAGCCAGGGTCACGTGTTTACTTTGTTCCGCGTTGTTGCACCTCGCTAATGGCGAGCCACGCTCGTCGCGCCCAACGGGTTTTCTCTCTCTTTCAGGAGAACGAAATGCAAGAGTAAAGAGGAAGGGAAAAGATAACGCGTGTGTGTGTGTGTGTGTGTGTGTGTATATATCTCAAGGGCAAATGCTCGTTCGTTGGTGTTTTTATGGATGCGCGGTTATAAATATTACACGTTTGGAAGCGTGCAAGGATAATAATTTGGTCTGGGAATAGAAAGGGAAGAACGGTGGAAGAAAGCGCGAAAATCCTACCGTTTCTCTCCTCGCGATAGGATCGTGTTATTATTCCTTGAGGTGGCGTTACGTATGTACGTACCGGGTGTCCGGCGAGGCTCTGCCAGGAGAACTCGAGATCGGCGATGTTGGCGGGCACAGGAACGACGAAGTTCATTGCGTACGTGTTAACCACTCCTTCCCTCACGTAGTATAGCTCGGCTTTTAGACCTGAAAACAAGCAAAGCAAGGGACGTCGGTTATCGATCGTCGGCTGGTCGATGATCAATTATGAAAAAGCGGTAACGACGGTTCGAGTCGTCGAAAGTCTCCCTTTCCGCTCGTCTTTCCAACGATCGTGCGCCACGTGTAAAACGTCCCTTCATCGTCCCGGGACGTTGACCAGAATATCGTTCAACACACGCGCGAGCGAAAAACTCGTCGATTCGATGATTTATACTCTTTCCCCGACTTTGATAAATGTTTCCTTCGTCGCATAAGCTCTGATAATGCAAAAATATCCAACCAATAGCGAGCATTTTCGTAAATTCTTCCCTCGAGAATCAATTTTTGTTTTTCGATAAGAATTAAAGAAGAAGAAAAAAAGAAATTGAACTCTCATATATATAATAAGAAAAGATTTTTGAACACGGATATTATAGAGATTCCATCTTTCGCTATGACGAAAAATATCCAAGCTATAATACGCGTCGACGTTCGAATATTAATCACAAATGTCCGCGACAAATCGCCGACAGTTTCGCCACCTGACGGAGCTAGGGCGAGTTAACATCGTGACGTGTAATTACGCGAGGTCGAGAGAGAGGGGAGAGGGGGGGGGGACAAATAATCCATTCAAAACTTGGCCGAGCTCAATTTTCAGTTTCCTGGGCGGTAATTATCCGGGCAAGGGATACCGAGTTACGTTTAATCTACGTCTCATTTTATCCTTAATCCTTAGTTACAACAACGTTGTTCCGCAAGGATTCCAACCCCCCGAGACACCTTGACACTATCGCTTCCCTAACAATCCGCTTCTGGTTCCAAGCTTACCCACCGATTACGTTTGCGCGACAAGATCCGTATCTCGATGGTGTGCGCATGCGGAGAAGTAACCGTCTACTCGAGAGACATCTCTGTTACATCACACGAAGCCAAGTCGATTATAGGCGATTATATTTCGAAGCAAACCGTGAATTAATCCACAGCGACGACTAGTCTCTTTCTCATCCCTTCTTCCTTATTTCGTTTTATCATTGAATTTAAATAAGAAAAGAAGTTTCTAAGAATAATGTCAAATAAGTTAACCTGTTAAAATCTCCTATTTTGCGTTCCATTCCATTTTACATCGAATGCGTGAAGAAAGAATTACGAGTGACTATCAATTATAAATAACAGGTTAACTTCGAGATGGAACGTGATGAAATAAACTAATCTGCTTGTTTATTTAATACTCTCTTTATTACACTTTCCATCGGATTTACCGAATAATTTATATTCGGTTTCTACAAAAACAGTTGCAAGAGTGTGGTTATGCGAGCAAGTGGATTAGGCGCTTCGAGTCAGACGACGAAACGGTAACAAGTAGCGTGCGTAAGTGAAAGTCGGGCGTAATCTATCTATATATCGGTAACACTCTCGAAATTTAACATTCGGCCAATTTTATAATATTCTTCGTTTAGATAGAGGGGAGGGGAAAAAGAATTAACGTATAATCTGGAGACGCGTTGGTGAGATTAATACAAAGTGATATACATTCTCGTCGCACAATAGTGAGTCACACGCGTGTGTATCCCCCAACTCAATTTGACGGTCGTATCAGGCCTGCGATACAACGTCAATCTCTACACTGATTTAATTTAGCGTACTGTGCATTTCTAGAATCAGATTTACCGCCTCCCTTGCACAATGAAATTTCAATTAAAATTTAAATGGAACGTTTCCCAATATAAACGAATATTTTAATATGTCAAATCCAGATATTCTTATTAACGAAAATGGTAAAAATATATGTATATATGGAAAAATTTTCCAAAAATCTAAATTATTTTTCTTTACTTTTTTTTTCACTCGCATATAACGAAATGTATGAAAAAAGAATACGAAATGGCACGAATCTAAGGATATATTCGAATAACTTTAAACGCAATATTATAGTCGAAATTAAACGGTAATAATATTTTTCTCGATCTAAATCGTTTTTCTACCGCGAATATAACAAACGAAATATATCCGAGCGAAAATGACACGAATCGATAAAGTAAATACTCGATCCTCGAACGCGTTTCTCGATATAGTTCAAATTAATTATTCTTTAACGATAAAATATTCCATCCATATCACGTTCCAAGAAAAAAAGAAATGGAGATATAATAAAATTAAAGCAATCGAAAGGAATGCATATCTTTCAATATAATCCAGATTAACGATTACTCTTTAAAAATATTTTCCAACAATTTTCCCTCGTTTGACAAAATATCATTGATCGAAACCCGATCGAAATCCTACGAAATGGAGATATAATAAAATTAAGAATATTTTTAAGCAATTTTCCTTCGAGTGTGATAAAATATTCCATCCATTCCAACGAAAAGAAAAAAAGAAATGGAGATATAATAAAATTAAACTTTAAAGTACGAATCGAAAGTACGAATGCGTTCTCTCGTATTTTATTTTCTTTAAAAATATTTTCGAGCAATTTTCTTTCGTTTGACAAAATACCCCATCACTTTTCTCTACGATTTTTTTCCACCATTCCAACGAGAAAAAGGAAAAAGAAAAAAAGAGATATATAATAAAATTAAACCTTAAAGCGATCGAAAGAAATGCACATCTCCCAATATAATCTAGATTAACGATTAAAAATATTTAGAAATATTTTCCTTCGTTTGACAAAATATCAAATCCATCATCATCTTTCTCGATCCGAATCCTACGACTGCTGTAACAAAAAAAAAAAAAGAAAATGGAGATATAATCAAATATGTATCTCCCAATATATAGTCCAGATTAAGTCAATTACTCTTTAAAAATATTTCCATCAAATTTGACAAATCGCTTTTCTCGATGAATCAAAATCGAAGAAAAAAAAAAAAAGAAACGAAGAGATACATAAGAAAACGTACACTTTAGAGTGCGAAACGCGTGCCCTCGAATTCGAGATGCTCGCGCGCCAGATAAGGAGACGCGCGGAGTGGATTGCGCTCCAACGTCCATGGCGCGGCGTCAATCGGAATTGCTAATCCGAATTAAACGGTTCGCGTTCGTAACTTGGCGTTCGTAAATGCATCGGGACGATCCAAGTTGGGGCCGATCCCAGCGCCGCATTTAAGATGCAACCACTCCCCCCCCCCTCCCCCCTCCCCTCTCCTCCCCCACCCGCCCGACATTAGCAGTCTGGTAGGACTGCGAGTCGAGTGGGAGCACCGACTACTCTCGGCTGCTGCTGCTTCTGCTGCCCGTTCATACGGCAGACATGATTTTCTACTTAGCACAGGCAGAAGAGGCAGCAGCCCATCGACTCGCACCCCATAAACCCATCTTCGTGCTTTCCCTCAACTCCCCCCCTCTTCCAGTTTCTCCCAGTCCCGTGGGAGAGGAGGGGAGGGGAGAGGGGGGGAGGATGGTACTACACCCCTCCCTCGAACCCTCTTCCGATTTTTCATCTCGAGATATCGAGAGGCAAATTGATAGATCACTGCCCGACCCCGCCAGGTGTCAAATTCCCTAGATTTAGGGCGTATTTATTCCCTAGATGGGAGGAGAGGATTCGCGTTCGATTGTTATCGCTCATCGCGGAGAAGGATGTGTCGTTTATGGAATTTTCAGATGATTTCTCGTCGATTTAACCACCACGTAATAAAAACGACGACTTTCGATGGGAAGCGTGGTCGAGAGAGTGAAAATTCTCTGTCTTTGCTCGGTATATTTACGAATTTTTGGAATTTTCGGATCCGTGAATATTCGACCATCGTATCGAAAAAAAAGAAATGATATCTTTCGATACGAAGCGAAGGAAAGCGAAATTTCCTTTGGCCCGGTATATTTCCGAATTTTTGGAATTTTTCGTCGACTTGAGCAACGTGCGAATCGTATCGAAATAAAAACGACACGAAGCACAGTTGAGAGAGCGAAATTCCCTTTGCTCGATATATTTGGACTTTTGAGATCCAACACGAATGAAGGATGCCTCTCGATACGAAGAGCGAAATTCCCTCTTTTTGGAATATCGTATCGAAATAAGAAGGATCCCCTTTCGAACAAATCGGCACCAACGATTAAATAAATTCGTCTCGCTTAATTTCTACTAATCGATATCGATCCACTCGTTACTATATAAATCCATACAACTCTGTATGGCCGCCGCTATCTTATTTCTCCTCTCCGTTAATCTACCTCCATTTCTATTAAGCTGCTCAGCCCCCTTAAAGACAAACGGAGCCCGAGATAAAGGCGTACGAATGGAAGTCCGGACAACAAGTTACCGTAATCCCTTAACTTTAACTTAACGCCAACGTTTCATAACAGGCTTGATCGTATCCATTTGTTATATCCCCCCTCTCTGTCTTCGTTATGTTCGTCTCACACGTCTCGTTGAAATATCTGCTCGAGACGCTTTCCAAGTCGCTTTTTTACGCGTATCCTTCCTCGCGTTTACGTGCCCTGCATTGTTGCCACGTATACGCGCGACCGATAAACCGACGTGTAAATATGTCGACGATCCTACGTGTCGTGAAATTAACGAAAAAAAAAAAAAAAATACTGAAAAAAAGTTTTTCCTCTCAGAGCGCGAATATCGACGATTGCGATCGTGATATTCGTTATTCCACTTGCGTTTTCGCGTTTTCCCGCGATAAATCACGCGTTTACCAAAGTTTTTCTAATATAATGTTACTTCTTGTTCAGAGTTCTCGTCTGGAAATATCGATTCCAGAAGAAAGTTCAGATGGTGGATACGTTACGTGCGGGGAATGAAACGTCTTGGAATAGTGGCGATATTCAGCCTCGTTATAAAGAGCAAAATCATCAAACGTGTGTAAACGTTCCTTATTCCTGTTTCTATACGATACTATATATTCGACCAGTTTTATCTTTATGACTCCTCATCTTGCTCGAGCATGAAATTCTTCTTCGAAATTTCGAATTACGAACTACGATGAAAAGTCGATTGTTGTTGAAATTTAAGATAAGATAAGACCTCGAAAACAATATCTCGATATCTTCTTTAATCA